TAAGAAATGGGCCAGCAGACCTGCAAGGTATGGCTGCCAGGGTCCCATCTCAGTTCCACCAGTGTGGGAGAGTCACTTAAAACCCCTTGGATTTGTGTTTTCATCTGAATAGGACACCCTGTCATACGCATTAAGCGGTGGGAAGTGAGAAAGGCGCGGTGATGTTCTCGAGGTTGAATTAGTGGTTGGCCAGAACCTCACCTTGCGTGTAGACACCTTTCCTTTAACACTCCGTATCTGCACTAATGGCATGCGTTTGCTGCACCCCAAAGCAAGGACAGATTGGAAAGGCACCGTTAAATACCTGGGCACCCCTCCAGCAGCACGGGGCATCTGTCTTCTAGAGCTCTCCAAGTGTTAACAACCAAAATGACACCGAAAATCAGAGCAAAGAGTAATTGAGCCCATTAAAAGTAAATTTCTACAGTTAACACCTAAGAGGGTTGCATCTGTCTTTTTTCTTCAAGGACTACCAAGCAGACAGTGGGATGGTGCTGGCTCCAGAAGAGCTGAAACGCTTCACGTGGACAGGCAGCAAGCAGAAACGGACGCTCTTTGGGTCTGTATTTTATTTTCCCTTCTTCTCCTTCGTGTTCCAGAGGGCAAAGGAGGATTCAAGGTCCTTGCGCTAAATCATGCCCAACGAAAGTAGCTGAGGTCCCTCAGCTGGGGTCCCCAGTCCCCGCGGGGACTCCTGCTGAGCTGTGCCCCGCTCGGCTGAGCCAGCAGTCAACCACCTCCCACCCCTAACTCTCCATGCGCCTCCGAGGAAACAAATAACCCTCAACCCCTTCGATGCACATCACCAATATGATTTATTAGCCCTCTCTTGATCGGCCTGATCCTCAACTTAATGCCAGGCTGGACAAGTGAACGCCAGAGAGCACTAAACCAAGGTAGAGGTAGGGAACTGTAGGAAGGCAGCCCTTGGCAAGGGGGAGGAGGGACGTGTGGCTGTGAAGGGTTCGCAGTTGTTTCTGCAAGTCCCCAAGGGCACCCCAGCTGGGACAAGGCTCCCCGTGCTTGTTTTTGCCCTTCTTTTCCATGACTCAGCTACGCACGGCCCATTTAACACCCATGGGCTCAGGATGCTAAAGTGGCAACTTCACAATAGATGGATGTGAGGGCCTCACTTCTCTTCCTGCCTGTAAGCACTTTAATACATTGGCCACCTTCCTCCACCTAATTCCTGACAGCTGCCCAAGCAGGGAACTAGGGCTGCGCTAAGAAACGCACTGCACTGACAAGAACCCTTGGGTAAGTGGGAAATGTTTATTTTCTCAATGCCGGCGGTGTCTCAGTTCCCAGCCGCTGCCAAGCTGGCAGTGTCTGCGGCTGGTGTCACAGCCCAGGGACTGCCCAGACCCAACCCATCCTTCATCTTTGGCTGGCAGGAGGTCAAGGCCATCCCACCATCCTGCCCGTGCCGAACTTGTCAGCGACTTGCAGCTGGGCAGGCTGGGAGGTGTAGTATTGTCTCCAGGAACAATTGGAGCTGGTTGAAACGTGCGGTCAAGGCAGAGAGGACTTGCTTCAAGAAAAAAATTCCGGTGACTAAGAGGGTGTTGGTTAAAAGCACAGAAATACGTGGACAAGAGCGTGCACGCTCACACAGCCAAAATACACGGTGTGCGGGGTAAACGTGCCGCCGGCAGGAGCCTGCGATGGAGCACTGCTCGTGCGCGGCAAAGCCGGGGTGACACGAGCCCCTCCAAACGAATGCTGGAAAAGCCTTTCTCCTCCCTTGACCACTCACATTTTCAGAAAAGAGGCTCGTGAACAATTTTATGGTACTTTGATTTTAGTGAGACAGTCCATACTCTCTTTTGAGGAGCTAGGTATTACAGAGCTTGGAATTCATGTGGATATTAGAGGGCTCCAAAGGATGCAACGTTTCCTAAAAGTGGTTTGACCGTTTTTTTTCTTTGTGCAAACGTGACATTTCTGAAGGCTGCTGTCAGCTGCAGAGACAACATGGCAACCTCCCCAAATGAAATGCATGAAATGCCTTCTTCTTTGCGTGGCACAGAACACACGGAGCGTGCCTCAAGCATCCCCCCTCCGCCCCCCAAGAAGCGCTTTAAGGAGCATTTTCAGCTGCAGAAGGAAAAGGAATGCTTGGATGGGAAGAAAAAAAATTGAACTCCACGGCGGCTGCTAGAACATAAATCCTTGGGGAAAAGAGCAGTTGGCCGGGAAGATGCGAGGTCAGCCGCCCTGCAAGCTAAACAAGTGGTCCTGCAGCGCTAAGCCAAAAAGCACTCATGTATGTCAATGCACACAGCGACCCTTTAGCCTGCACGCATCCCTAAAAGTGGTAGTTTCTTAGCTGAGCATCCTTTACTTCGGCTACATTGGAGCAGTACATAAATACCCCTGAAAGCCGCGGTAGAAAGGTAGAGCCTGGAGGGGTGGGACACCTGTGAGCTGGTCGAACCACAGGCACAGTCCGGCTTCCTCCCTGGCATCTCACGCATCCCGCTCTGCGGTCCTGCCCCCTCTCTTGTGCCGACACGGCTTGCCTTGCAGAGGGCCGGTTGGGGTCACGGATGATCAGAACCCTCCCCTCGGGTTTCCACTGCCGGGGAGGGAAAGGCACCAACACCCAACGCCCACCCTGGGTTTCACAATGGGAAACGAGCATCAGCCCAAACCCTTGCCAGCCCCTCAGGCCCAGGTGGTGGCAAAGGGCACGAGAGAAATGGTTGCTACGTGTCTTGGACTTGCTGTCACCATTGAGATGAAATGTGAAGAGCAAAAAGAGAGAGAAGTCTTTCTTAACGTAAGGCCTCAGGTAACAAGATCCCCATAGAAACGTCTGGGGGCAGAGAAAGAACAACCTGCTGGGCTCTGCCCCTTTGCAAGTGGAAAGGATCCCAACCGCAGCTCTTTCTCGGTATTGGTGAAAAAGCCCAGCCCAAGTAAGCCAAAATCCTCGGGCTGGAGCAAACCCTTGAGTCAAAGCAAATCGCTAAGCCAGAAAACCAGTGAGAACTCCCCCACTCGTGGGCTGGAACCAGCATCCCGAGAGGCGCAGCCAGCCTCTAACCTCACTCCGTTCTTGAATCCATCAGGAAAGCAGCAGCTGTTTCCTCCAACAACTGATCCCAATTAAAAGCCAACTAGACACAGTTTCTAATTTGCATTCCTAGAGTGGAAAGGAGATAGCCCACAGCTAGAGAAGCCTTTACTGACTGTAAGCTCAGCCTCAAAACGAAGCCTGACTACGGATGCCCAAACTCCACGGGCTCCCTCAAAGCTCTCTGTGGGAGCGTGTGCCCAGGTACAGCAGTGCACTCCAGGTAAAGTTAATAGATGCAGCTCTGCTGGTATAAAGGTTTATTATTTAAAGTAGAAGCCAAGTCTAGCTCACAAGAAAATTCTCAGGATGAAAAAGCCCAATGATGAAGGAAAGGATCAAAGCACGATGATTTTAAGGCTCACAGCCTCACACGCACACTCCACTTTAGCCAGCCCACTGCTCCCCAAGACTCACACTTACAGCATCAATCACAGAAGCGTTTCTCTTTAAACCCATTACAAAAAGTCCATTAAGTCTGTGACTAACCTTGTCACATAGTTATGGAATTTATCCCAAGGCAATCATTCATCCCTCTGCCAATACGTGCAATATAAAAATAGAGGATGCAGCCGCAACCCTCGTCATGAGGGCTCCTCCTCAGGAACCCCTTCCATCTACAAACAAATGTAATGGGTGGCCTTCCTGGGAGGACCCTCCAAATTCCTACAGTAGGACAGAAGACAGAAACCACACGCCTTAAAAAGCACCCAGCCATATGAGTTAAAGGTTCAAGAAACTGTGAAATCTAAGGAAAACCGTTACTTCCCCATTTCTTAATCAGGAAAGGTCCTGTGCTACCAGTTCTGTGCTTCACTTAAAGATCTAAATGGAAATGAAAAGCAAAACCCTAGGCTCTGAAAGCCTCACCAGATGTTCTGACTGTCTCCTCTGGAATTCCAGACGAGGGCTGCCAACGTTCCTGACCTTATAAACGGAGAAGGGCGGAGTGTCCATGAACTTATAAAAATACAGGGGAGGGAAGCTAATTTTAGGCACTGCGGTCCAACATTATGTTTACATTAGGATTTCACATGTAATCAATGATGGAAAATGCTCTGCCTTGTCTAAGTTCACCGGTGTGAAAAGTCTCTTTGCCTTAACTTCATTATTGAAAGAACCTTTTTAAGCGCTGCGCTCTCTGGATATGGGTGAGAAAGCGCTGCGAGGCAGACCCTGTCTTTAAGAGAGGCTCAGCTGAGAAGACATTAAACCCTTCTTGTAAAGGACATCTTATAAAAGGCAGCCTAGAGGATAACTGGTCCTTTGTGGGCCAGGAAAACTCTAATTCAAACCAGCAGTTCAGGTCTGCTGCTGAGGGAAGGCGAAGAGAGTTGATCCCCAGACCCTGTGCCCTTCCTCACAAACATCAGCCATTTCGCTTAAAAATTCATCCCAGCATTAGGCTTTGGGAACACCTATACTTGTAGTGTTTTGCTTTTGCCTCAAGGCTCCAGACCTTTCATTACTTTGCTCCTGCTCAGAAAAAAAACCCAAACCAATTCCCTTAGGAAGAACATTTGAGCACGGGGACTCTATGGGATAAACAGCCCAGATGCCAGACACTGCACGCTTTTTTGCCCTGCACTGAAGTTTCGCTCCCTAGCACCCACCACAAAGGAGCAATTAGAGCTTAGGCTGAGCAATTTAAGTATTCCCCGTAAGCACCAAGACTCTTAATACTTAGAAGAAACACAAGCACCTTAACGGGGATGTTCAGCCCCAGCATCTCTGTGCTGACGGGAACGCGAGGAGGACACAGGAGGGCTCTTTCACTCCTCCATTCCGCACTCCCGCTGAGCAATCCCATCTGCATCCATGCCATTCCCACCATCCGAGAATAAACAACGCTGCTTCTTGTCAGGTGGATTTGCTGGAGCCACTAAAACAAACGCCCGTTCGTGGTAAAATACGCTAACGGTGATGCTGCTCTGTTACAGCGTGAAAGGTGCCAGCAGGAGCAAGGAGTCGGTGCTTTCTGGAATAACCAAGCCAAGAAGCTTCTGCAGTTTCAGCTGTGACCAGCTCAGTGATTCCCAGCGACGATACACCTACGGTAACGCCGTCCTGCAGAAAATGAGAGCCTGCCGGTCTCCCCCTCCTGACTACAACTCCGTCATCCTTTATTCTCAGCCACCCGTGTAAGTCCTTCTAGGCCAAGATTTAAATATGCATTTAATCCAAAAAGGTTCTTCTTAAACACTGTCAGTTTAAAACCTTTGACCCCAATAATTTTCAATATCCTAAAATTTGAAAAGATATCATTGGCTTAATCTCAAGTGATCTGCTTTTCTACAGACTGCAACAAGCACATACAAAATATAGCAAAATACTAATGCTTAGGCCTTGACTTTCCCAAACGCTGAACACCATCAGCTGCCGCTAACATTGCCCAGTGCTTCTGAAAACCTGGCTGGTCATCGCTAGAGAGAAAACCAGTTTGGTGCTTGGTCCCCGGCAGTGGGATGGCATTTCACGCTCTTTTCTGCTCAGAGCTGGGTGTACCACCCGTGTCCTGGTCGGGAGAGGTCAGGCACCCGGGAATTTGCACTCTATTGCTGGGGTAGTGCTGGAAAATAAAGGATTCTTCGAGAGAGAAACCAGAAACAGACCACACACTACAGTTTTTAGTGAAAATTTTACCTTGAGAAACTCGAGGGAAGGCTAATGCTCCAGGGACGGGATGTTACACGGCTCTTACTGCTTCAGATGGCAAAGGCGGTAAGGAATCTTGTGAGGCAAGAATTTCAAATTTGTGTTGCGAAACGCAATTGGCAAAGATAGAGGAGAACTAAGATCAGAGCCAGGGCTGCAACAACAGGGTATACGCATCAATTCAGTTTGGACACGCCTGCTGAAATCAAGTAAATATTCTTGAAGTTTTGCTCTTTGTCAGTACGCCAACACACACACTGGAACCAAACCACAAGCTAGATATGTTAAAGTCAAGCTCTGTCCACGAAACCTTGTGGACCTTCTAACACTGCACTGATTATATTTTATTTATGGGAATCTGTCTGAAAAGACAGGATAGCTACTAAATGCATATACTTTAAATTAATTGCTCACTAGAGAGTTTGAAGAGATTAGTTAGAAATGACAAGACAATCTCCGTGGAAAGTTAGGGCAGCTTTTCTATGAAGACAGTTGAATTTCCACATTAGTTACCAGTATATATGTACAGGAATAAAAACATATCGCTCATTTGCAACAGAGTTTTGTACAGCATCTCAGAAAGGGCACGAGTGTTCTCTGCTCGAGAAGCATAAGGATGCACCATCCCCTTTCACCTTTGAATGCAATATTGAAGTTGGCCATTTAACACAGTAGCATCGATGTCTTCCAAATCAATAACTACTGCCCAGTCTCAGCTTCTCATGGTCCACTATTAACATCTATAAACTCAAATGTGACGTATAATGCGTGACCTCTTAAAACTCAGCTTAGGAGCTGTGAATTTAACCCACTAACAGACTTAAAGGCAAACGACCTTTTGCATATTTACAAAGAAAAATGTTTTTGGATATTCAAGTAGAAGAAGTATGTACCACTACTTCTAAGCTAAGTATCAATTCTAGATCTTCCTGGCCAAGACATCATCAGTTTGAAGTCTCTATTGCACTCTCTCTTGCTAGTAAAGTATATCTGATCTTGAGCAAAACAAAAGGAAAGTTTAAGAACTGTTTAACTCCAACTGAGCAAAAATAGTTATGGGATGATGCATCTCAAAGGAAATGTTTGCACAGTGTAAATATATAAATATGCTTTTTGTGCATAAATATTTAAGAAAACTGGACTACAAAGATTACTTTTATATGAACCCCCTAAGTTTCTTCAGATGTGAATAACTCCTATTTTGTCTTGCATTTTCTGACTTCATATAATGTATTTGACTGCTAAATTCATATAATAAAGTTTGCTTTTGAAAGAATCCAGAGTTCCACCAAGCCAGTCAATCCGGTATCAAAGGCTGCCGCAGCAGACGATGCACCGCTGGGCAGCACTAACACATCTGGCAAACGATCCATCCCACGGGCCAGTTTTGTGAGCAAATACAGAATAACTGCACAGAAGTGACACACACTTGTCCCGCTCCCTGCATGAGCAACATCCCCTAGATTCAGCAGATCTAAGAAATGTTTCCTGCTGTTTAGAGGCAAAAAATTCAGCTCTGCCTGTGGGAGAGGCAAGGTTTCATGGTGGGGGCAGATAAAGCAGCCCATTGACGAACATCCATTCAACCACTCCCCACGCCAGGTTATCTGCAGCTAGAATCACAGAATTGTTATGGTTGGAAGAGATCTCAAAGATCATCAAGTCCAACTGTATACCAAACACTACCATGCCCACTAAATCCACTAAACCATGTCTCGAAGTGCCACATCTAAACGTTTTTTGAACACCTCCAGGGATGGTGACTCCACCACCTCCCTGGGGAGCCCGTTCCAATGCCTAACGACTCTTACAGTGAAGAAATTCTTCCTGATATCCAACCTGAACCTCCCCTGGCGCAACTTGAGGCCGTTTCCTCTTGTCCTATAAACAAGAGGAAGATCGGGTACAGAGAAAAGGACAGCCAAGAGAGCGAAGGTGTCCCCAAAAAAGCCTGTGCTAGAACAGACTGTGACATGAGGTAGCACCTTAGGCCTGGTAGATGTTTCCTCTTGCATCCCCACCCTATCCGTCAGAAGCTGGGGACGGTGCCTTCACAGACATGTTCAGTTGAGAGCTTCAGTTGAAGCATTTTTTATCATCCGAGGGGATCTCCAAGCCACGCTGCACATAACCTACGCACCAGTGCTGGAAGGAAGCGGAGATGAAACTCCAGGATCGCCTACTGCCACAGGAGCTGTGTAGTTCTTGCTGCTGCATGACGTTAGAAAGAAACCGGAGCCTAGAGAAGGGAATCAATTGCAGCTTACATAATAAAATGTCTACAGCGCTGCAATTTAAGGGATGATGACTCCACGTTAAATGGATGCAGGGAATATTGACAATTTCACATGTATTGCACAAAACTTCACGTTACCCAAGCACGGTCAGGATTGGATGGGTATAGAAGGTTTTACCCCACCAGTAACCTTTGCTGGTTAACAGTACAGAAAAATAATTCTGGGAAATGAAGCTGCCATGACCCCTCCTGCAAATTCTCAGAGAAATTAATATACTTTGTTATTGGGCAAAAAAAGCTCAGTAAACATGAAAGTATTGGTACTTTAGCAGAGTTTTCAGAATTAGGGCTGGCTAGTCTTGGACAGAAGCAGATGGGACTGGACTCGGGAGTTAAGGGAACATGTACTAGTAGGATTACAGTCAACAACATCTATCACTTTTAGGTCATCTGATACACTGTAGGTGGCAAGCACTAAACGCACCTTGTGACCCACGAGTGTTTAAACTCTGCATTGCAGACAGAGTGAATACAAAATAAATATGACAGAACGAAATACAATTCCAGCGCCACAGTTGAAAAGTCCTGTATCCAACTCCAGAACTTCACATTGTCAAAATAAGGCCACATTATTTCTGGTATTCTTTATTAAAAATACTGCTGTACACATGAAGAATGAAAACAGGATTAAAGATGAGTAACACATACTGGGATCATGACATCAGAACTTAACATACTGGTGCTTTTTAGGGGAAGCAGTTGACACCTGAATTACTGAAACAAGGGCAAATCAAAAATATATAGATACCCTCAACAAAATATTTACAATATAGTAAATACAGCAACAGAATTTAAAACAAGTACAAAAATTTAAATGACTAACATCAGATGATTTCAAAGGTTGTCCCTTCTGTGCTTTTAGCTGTAAAAAATAGGAAGGTCAGAATTAAATTTCCCATCTGGGAGGGCACATCCTGGTGGCTCTTCTCTTTTAAATACAGATACACAGTTCTTCCTATGCATGGATCAAACGACAACTTTAGGACAACCTTCTAAATGGAATTAAAATGGGGCAGAAGGGCTCTCCCCAAAAAAACACCCAAGCTGAACTTCAGACTGTTCAAATCATTCCCAAATATGGACCAAATGAAATAAATAGAAAACAAAGCTCAACTTTTTTTTTTATTTTATGTATTACCTGACACCAAATATTTTCTGGCTGACATTATGTATGAAAACTTATTAGCTGTCTACTTTTTTATTTTTAAACCAAGTCCTGAGGTTACTAGGGGCTGAAGCAAACTGACATTATGCAAATACACACAGGTTTGCAATTTAGACATGTCTTGCAGAGGGTGGTTTGCTGGTCTAAAAAGGATGAGAATTCAAGCCCTATTTTACCCCTGCCTTACACTTTCACAAAATATTGGTCCACAAATTAAATTTTCAAAGGTTCCCAAACCCCACAACTGAACAGATGATCCCCTTTCATTTTCAAAGAAAACAATACTGGAAAAAACCTCAGCCCGCTTATAAATTAAGCATTTCATATTTCTTCTAGAATACAAGTACTTCTTTTTTGTACAAAAGAATTACAATATGATTTGTCAAAAAACATATAAAAGACAGCTGCTCTTCCTCAAATACATGAGCTAATGATAAAAGACTGTTTTGCATGTTCACTTTTCAAAGTTCCTGTTCCTTTTATATTAAAAAGAACATTCTGGCAACTGTTATCGTTTGAATATTAAACATTATGTTCCTTTTAAAATTCATTCGATCAAATGCAACAATAATCGATTTTTAAACTCAACAACTGATGCTACCTAATGTGGATTCAACCACATTTTCTAAAATGTGTAAAGCACGTCCCTAGTCTTCAAAGCTTTCGATGTGAAGAGAGTTGCTTTTTTTCTTGATGCAAGTCTCAAGGCGGAGAATCATTTTAAAGCTTATAAAAGTGGACAGAGAAATATTAAAAACTTCTCTGAAAACTACAAATATTGAGAATTATTAAAATTGATGTCAGTAACATCAGTTGCAAGTGCTTAGAGTCTGTCCTGACCTTTTGAGTTTCCACATTTTCTTCATGGTGAGCACCCAGTGCTATTAAAACATTCAGTGCTGGGAAAAGATAGATACAGTCTTCACTACTGTTTTAAGAAAGGAAATTCCTACATATTTGGCAGTCTTCAGTATCAAAGTGTAGGTGTTTAACTAGAAATCCCATGAATACCCAAGTTTGGAGACAACTGCATGTCCAAATATTAGAAAG